CGGACGCCACGCAGGGAGCATGAAAAGGCCGGGAGATTATGCCCCCCCCCCGGGGTGCCTGCCTTCAGAGGGCCAGGGTTACAGGCATACAGAGAAGACGTCTGCGGGCCGATAAAAGAAGAAAAAGAGTTTTAAGCTTGCACACTTGGGAGACATGTGCTTGGCTCTCTAGAAATCCCAGACTATAAATAGAGACACCTGGAATGGAGACGATAATAAAACTGAAGACGCTCTGGGACACCAAAGTTAATTTTAATGAGCATGCATCTCCACTCTAGACTGTTTGGAACACCAAAAAATAAGGAGATGGAAAGCTGAATGAAGCCATTCCTCTCATGAGGGCCTTGCAGAAACACGTCCGTTATTTCATGAACAAACAGTCGAGTGTTTGCTCCTTCCTCCAGATGGTAGGCTTTCCTCCCCCTCATCTCTTTTTGTTCCTAACCGCTGTGCTCCCCATTGTCTCATCTCTCTGGCCCACATAGCTCTACAGGCTACAGTGACGGTGATTTAGACTCCATTTGCCTTCTGGAGTAAAATACAGAAGTAAAAGTGACACTTTTACATTAATCCCACTATGCAAAGACTTTAATGTGCTGATCTACTCCTGTCAGAGTCCCAGCCTTTGCTCCGTTCTGGCGTACAATCCAAAGAAATCACAGACGTGTTATGCAACAACACCCACATATCTTAAGTTTCATACCGATGACCACATTTTTCTCCTGATTTTCAAACGATTTCTGCTGGGATGTTGATAGAAAGTTGAAAAGGTGGTTTTTCTAGGTGAGAAAATTGTATCACCAAATTATAATAGACACTAAAAAGGAAATCAATCACATTTTACAGGAACACTCTTACAGTGAATATAAAGCTAAAGCCAGGAGCTGGTTAGCTAACGTAGCTTAACATAGCACAAAGAGTGGAAACTGGGGGGAACAGTATAGCCTAGCTCTGTGCAAAAGCAACAAAATCTAACTTCCCGAACTTTAAATTAACATGTATAACCACTACCTGACAACTTTACACTTAATTATCTTGTTCTGATTGAACAACACAGATATAAAGTGTTAACTAGCAGCTTTAGAGGTGCTGGTAAACAGAGTTTGTTACTTTTGGACAGAGCCTGGTTAGCTTCTTCTCCATTCCAGTCATCTAAGCTAAGCTAGAAGCTAAGCAGCCTGCTGGCTCTAGCTTTTACCATACAGATAAATGTCTGTGTCTCATTTGTGATGCAAGCGTTATCAGTTGGTAAAAGATGTATTGTCAAACACCAATTCACCAAAGTCCACAGAAACGTTTCATGAGACTTTCCAGCTGCTAGCAGTCTACGAACAGAGAAGGTTAAGGAGCTGAAAACAATACTTTAAAGTCAACTTTCTTTTTTTTTTACCAAACTGACGAAGAAGGCCAATGAGAAAGGTTGCTTTAAACGTTCCATCAGATAAATATTCTCAGTGGTGCACTGATGCAAAGTAAAAATGGGTGGCTATCCTAGTGGGTTATTGCTCATACTAGGTGCTCTAATATCATAAGGAGGCATAAGCTCTCAGCTCTCAACCACCCCCAGCCCTGTAACTCTGTATCTCTGAGATCCAGCATCATCCTAGTTAATCCCATTACTTGTCACAGCAGTTCAGACATAAGACACAGGGATAGAGTTATGGTCAATCATTTCAACAGACCCCTTGATACGCTACTGCATCTCCAACAGGGGTTCTTGTACCCTTTTTAAAGTCAAATTCTAAGACCGTTTCTTAATTTTTAAGACCGTGAAAAATATAATTTAAGACCAGAAATATGTAGGAAACAATGTCTTTGATAGAAAATAATTTTTTGAGTCCTACTTTGAAACAAAACTTTTCCTTTCTTTTGTCCAGTGCTGAGATCACCGTTAATTCAGACTTTTCCATTCAAACGAACTAACCATTTAGAGAACGGTTGAAGGCATACTAATAAGCATTATAATGCGAGTCCTCAAAACAGTCTGTCCTAAGCCAAAAAGTTGAAAAAGGAAAAATACATGGCTATATTTGAAAAACTACACAAATGTCATGAGTGGATACTACGAGTCGCAAAGAAGCTGTTGAGAAGTTGCGAGGAAGTCAGACGAAGTTTCAGGCATGCTTCATGCAAACGACGGAGACATTAGTTTCCCCGTGCGTACCCTCGTGCTTTTCAGATTGCATGTGGGATTCAACGGGATTCATCGCTATGCTCCCTAACATTTAAGTGTTTTGGGAAACAAATTACACCTTGCTCCGTTTGGCCAGTGCCAACCACCTCCGAAACCAGTCGTCATTACACTCGCATCTCCCCATCTCGGCAGCAATGATGACTGATGATAGGGAAAAGATGACACGCAGCCAGACGCAAACATCTGTAGCTAGATAACGTTAACGTAACGTAAAACTTCTATTAATGCCGGAGTCTGTCGTTGTCTCATACTAAGTGAATCAAACAAATGCACACTATTTGATGAGTTACTGTAGGCTACCTAGCCTGACAATTTTCTCATCAGCCTTAAACGCACCATCTGTAAGTTTAATACATACAGCAAATTTACAGTAAATTAAAGACAATTGATGACTTTAATTTCCTTAATATTAGACTAAGACTTTTTAAGGAGCTGCAAAAACCCTCGCATTATGCCTACTATTATTTATATTTTGGAGAAAATGTCAAGAACAGCCCTCTCGCCTTCTTACTTCATCCCCCGTGGTCGTGCAGTTCATAGAATGAGATCGGCATGTGTAGATTTCGGAGACCTTCAGTGTTGAGAAATGCCTTTGCAGTTAGTTTTCTCAACCGTACCAGAGTACACATCAACCGTTCTCGAGATCGACTTTTTAAAGTGGAACCCAGGCACGGCTCGACCAACAGTGCTCCATACGATACACAGATTTTTATACTAATCAAACGACCTGGACTTTTGGGTCAATAGCCCACATCCTCTGATGTGAAAGGTACAAAAAGAGTCACAAAAGTTTTCAGCAATATGTGAAGGAGTGAAACTGGCACCTTCCTCTCTAGCCCCGGCCGTGGATGAGATGTAACTGAGCAAGCATTGGGCCTTTCAGGGGGGAATATTCATGGAGCTTGGTTGCTAAGATCCATATAGGACGGGGGTGCCTGTGTGGTATTGTTCCTTCGGGAGTGGAGTGAAAGAAGTGAGCAGAGAGATTGATGAGAACGGTCAGTCCGTTGAGGTTCTCACTCAATGGAGCTTTCTCTTGACAAGTCAGGGCCTTTGTGGTGCTGAATTATTTGCCATTAGGGTATCAATGGAAGGGCAGTGAAAAGACTTTGGAACGTAGTCTGCATAGATTAGTGGAGTTTAGGGAAATAAGAATGGTATTGTTGTTGAGAAATATGTTATTTAGAATCACCTAAAGGCAGGTAGTAGAGAGGACTTATATGGGTCTGGTTGTATGTGACTGTGTCTAAAGAGTCCATAATAACAGTAGATGTTACAACTATTTAGAGACATCTGATACTTAAGACAGCCAGACCTGCAGACACTGATTATACGGTTTGAGCAGGGACAACAGACGCAGAGATAAACATTAAACCCACTGGCTTTGTACTTTAAAAAGTCCAATTACACCCTTACTTCGACCAAAATGAATAGTTCGCAACAGTAGCGGAGCTCCGGCGGGACCGTCCTGACACACAAGACGTCTGTTAAATAGACTAAAAATGCAACAAGTCTGAAGATTGGGAAAGTAAACCACATCAAGCCTTCATAAGTAGCATGGCCAGAGGTAAACAAGAGTAATTTTACTCTAGGAGGGATTATAATTCATTATGGCTCATTCTGGCCCCAAAGGCCAAAACAAGCTCTTCTTTCTCGACATGATGAACAGCCAGACACTTGTTTTGCTCAGGGTTTTGACAGTTGATTGGACCTAATGAAGAGGTAACAAAAAGGGCCTTGTCTAGTCTATACCCTCTGTCTGTGACCTTGAGGCAGCATTTCTTTTGATGCATTTACCCGTCGCCAATCTAAAAATCACAAGAATATTTGAAGATCCCTCTCTGAATATGTCAAAAGAGAATCAATATCAAAATGTCAGTCGCAAACGGGATATTGCAACTACAAAAATATCACTTTCCAGCGGCCAGTGGCCGGGCTTTTAGGAATTCTGAGAATTCTGAGGTGCAGTTTCCTGTTCACTTAACTGCGAGTAAATCTATAAATTGTATTTTGCATAGTTCCCAAAAAAAACAACCAGGACATACCATAAGCAATTACAATAAACTAAGTTATTATTCAAATTAATGATAAAATAACAGTTCATAATAATGATTTGAGTTTTAATAATTTCATCAATAGTGTCACATACATTAACATTTATTTTAAAATGTTATTTATATCATTATTTTTCAATTATTATTTTTAATGATATTGAACATTTTGGGGTGCCATCATCCTCGACCATATCTAAAGGCAAAAGTGTTTATACCTGTTTCAAATGGAGATACTCAGAACCTGCTGTAAAACCACCTCCTTGATTGCCGTATACATCTCTGGTAGCGGCAGCAACCTGCCAATCACAGTAAGCCCGACCTAAAGCATACTCTGCTTTATGATTTGACTCTAAATGGCTCATAATTTACCAAATGAACCTCATGCTGTACTGAAGACGACTTGAAACTAGAGATTGAGACCATAAACTCATGTTTACAATGTTTACTGAGGTAATAAATCAAGAGAGAAGTAGAGTCATTTTCTCATAGACTTCTATCTGACTTCCTTCTGCAACCGGAGGAGTTGCCCCTGCTGGTCAGTACAGATGATGCAGGTTTTAAAGGCACTTCCGCATTGGCTTCGCTCAGCAGAACCGGAGGTTGCCACCTGGTCTCGACATATGCAAATAGCAAAGAAGACTTTTGGGCAGTCTCTCCTCATAGAAATTCATGGTGCTGATCGTGTACACACTAAAAGCGATGGAAGTAGTGAAAAACGAAAAGAAATGTGACATGTGCTACAGGGTTCTCACCTGTAGTAGAGGAGCTCTGATTCCAGCTGGAGGACATGCCTCTGCAGCATCGGCACATGGCTGGCCTTGGCCTCCAGTTCCTTCACCTTACCCAGGCCGCTGAGCAGCGCCTGCCGGGCCTCCTCCACCTTCCTCCTCATGCCCACCTGCTCCCTCTTCAGGGCTCGGTTGCAGTCCTCCAGGGCAACCACGGTCTCTTTAGAGGTCCACAGCTCCTGCTCCAGTCTCTCGTTACACAGCATGGCCTCCTCTACCTGGAGGTCTCTGGAGCTCCGCAGCAGCTCTATCTCGTGGATGATGCTCTGCAGGCTCTTCAGGTTGCTCAAACTCTTCTGGGCCGATTGTTTCTGGTGGGCGGCGAGGCAGCCCTCCTCTGGTTTATGCTTGGAGTGGCTTTTCCATAGTCCTACCTGAAAAAAGTAGTGCAATGGGTGACAATAGGGGACCAGATCAAGACATTTCCTAAAACTATACAGCACCTGCTTAGTCACATGCCTGTAAATGTTGTAACTAATGGCATTATCTATAGATCACTTAGAAGGCATTGTTAAGAACAACATTTGGGCCATTAATAACAGCAATGTTTGGGTCGTCGGGATGCGGAAAAGGTCTCTTGCCGTTTGGTCTGTGATAATCCCGTCCTAAATTAAATCATGAATGAAAAATATTGATTATGTTTCTCACTTCCTAATAAGCCATTGAGTCTGCCATTATAAATGTTATAAAGAGAGTCAATCAGAATCGGAATCAGAAACGGTTCATGGCCAAGTACGTTTGCACATACAAGGAATCTGACTTGGCGATTGGAGCATAACAATAAACCCAGAACAATAACATAAAGACATCATTAAAATGACAAAATGGGAGAATTTACAATCGAACATGATAAACAAACAAACAATATAAGAATTCATTGAAATATCTGTTATACTTATAAGGGTTTATGGGTTTATTAATATGTGATTTATTTACTAAATAATAAGTTAGAAGCTGCGGGTTGCCAGGTTGTGTTAAAATACCTGTAGCTGGTGTTCACCTTCCTCTAGGATGACAGTGGCTTTATCTCCTTTAGTGCAACACTCTGACCACTTACCGACCTGAACCACAATCAATTGATGAACAACTTATTGACATTTACAACAACAGACCTGATTATCATAATATTAAAGACTTGTGGATATTCATAATCACAGAGCACTATACCTTTTGAGGTTGGCTTGGAAACCTGGGTACCACTTGCAATTTGCAAAAAGGGCTTAAACAGTAACTAAATAACTGTTGGATCTTGGTGGCAGTGGGCGTCTGGTCTTGGTTATATGCAAGAATCCAGACAGGGTTGGGAAGTGGGAGCCCTAAAAGCCCTTTTGTCACTTATGTCTATAATGATATTACATTGTTAGAATACAGGCGGCATCATATTGAAAACTGAAGCAGGGTTTAGTGAGTTCAGCAGAAACTTAAACTCTCGAGCTCTCACCTGCAGAGCCAAACAGCGGGCGTCGCTGCTCTGAAGTGCGGCGCGCATGTCCTCGATGAGCTCGCGCAAACTCGCGTTCTCGTCCTCCAGCTTCGCGACCCGGTCCTCGGCCTCCTCTAGCGCCACTATCTCCTCGTAGCACTCCTTGGTGCAGGACCCGAGCCTGCAGCCGGAGGCGTGCCGCCCCCCCGCGGCGGCGGCGGAGGGGCAGGGGTCGCCGCTCGCGCCCACGGACGGCAGCCTCCCCCGCCGCCTCAAGGGGCTCCGCAGGCGGATCTGAGTCTCTATGTGCTCGCTGTCCTTCCCGACCAGCAGCCGGCCGTTCTCGTACTGGCGCCCCGCCTTGGTGCTGAAGTAGCCGCACAGCTTGGCGTGGAAGTGTCTGAAGGTGAGCTCGCCGGGCAAGTTGTCCAGAACGCCGGTGCATTCGGTGTCCTCCGAGTCTTTGTTCAGTCCCAGGACGTCACACAAGATGTTGAAGTCCTCGACGGGGATCTTTCCCCCGCCTTGATAGTCCATATGATGGAAGATCTCCTGTAGGTACTGGTCCAAGCCGGTAGCCAGAACTATGATCTCGTTCTCCACTCCCCGGTCCAGTCCGTAATGGTAAGCCAGAGTGCTGACCACCCATTGTGTCCTGCGCGCAGGTCGGCTGTACGGATCAATGGAGTCTACTGCGTCCATCATTCCCACCGAGAAACACCATATTTCCTCAAACTCAACGCGGTTACTTTCTTTCTTCTAGCGTCGCCCCGTGTGTGTGTGTGTGTGTGTGTGTGTGTGTGTGTGTGTGTGTGTGTGAGTGTGTGTTCGTGCTCATCCTCTCGGGCAGAAGCTCGATAGCGGAGTGGCGCAGCTGAAACGAGGCGTGCGTTAAAAGAAGAAAATGCGGAGCTCGTTTGAATTTAGGACTGCCCTCCCAAAAAAAAAATCCCCCCCTCTAAAAACAAAACCCAAAAGGGGTCCCAACCAGGAGTCAGTAACACACACACACACACACACACACACACACACACAGCCCCACTGTAACGGTCTCGTACTGCCATTCACAATGAGGGTAATTGCCACCAGGTGTGTAAACTTTGTCATTCTTTGGGTCAGACCCTGTTCAGATGTAAGATGCCCGGGAGACTACTGCGCGGTGGAGCACAGCTACTCGCTCTTCTTTTCAGCTCAGGGGTTTTAACTGCGTGGTCTTTTACTCAGGAGTAAAAACTCATACAGGGCTTTTTTCTTCTTCTTTTTGCCCAATTTGCACCTTGCTGTATCCCTTATGCCCTGATATGCATGAGCTCGTTTGCTGTATGCAGTTTTTTAACTACAGCTTCTGCACTCAATCTGCAGCTACACCAGTGGTCTTAGTAAAAGTACTAATAGTGTAGAAAGAGCTCTAACAAGTAAAAGTCCTGCATTCAAAATCTTACTTGCAAAAGTAAAAGCATCAAAATATACACAATGCACAAAAGTAAAGTAATCATTATGCAGAATAGCCCATTTGAGAATAATATATAGTATATTACTGGATTATAACTATTGATGCATTCATGTGTTCATCACTTTGATGTTGCAGCTAAAGGAGGGGCCAGGGTAGTTTAATCTTAGTTGTGGTAGTTGTGGCTAATCTAAATCTGCAAAGTAACTGAAGTTATCAAACACTGTAGTGGAGGAAGTATGACATAAAATGGAACTACTCGAGTAAAGTAGAAGCTCCAGAGAGCCGTAGGTTTGAACACAATCTGTTCATTGTGTGAGCTATATCGAGGTGCACTTTTAGTTTTACTGTCCTATCTACGAGGACATAAGGGACGAACTCTTTAGTAAAATGACTTCTATGTTGATTTATTTTGGTTGGATGTTTATGAAAAACTTGAGTTGTGCTTCATGAAAGGAACCTTTTTTTGTAGCAGATTTTATTTGCCAGGATAGAAGACAGGATATTTAGTCGAGCTGTGAAGTAACCTGTAATTTTGTAATTTAATGAAATTGAATAAAAGTTTGTCCACTGCAGCTGTATTTTTGTTGTCTCATAAACCCATGAGGGTTGGGTACGTTATGTCCATGACACGAACATAAACATATCAATCAATCAATCAGAAGTACCTCAAAATAGTATTTAAGTACAGTATAACCCACTTGAGTAAACTTTCTTTGTTACATTCCACCACTGGGATAATGACATGCTCCATTAAGGTTCCTCATATCTAAACACAATTCACATTAAAGCAGGCTCTCTGCTTTAATGTGAATTGTGTTTAGATTTTTCTTTACAACTGCAGCCTGTATTATGCTAGTTATTTTTTCTGAGAGTTTTGGTGTTATTTAAAGTGTTAGAACCTCATAAATCCATATCTACTTGAGTGTAAAAGTGCAAATATCTCATGTGCTCCACAGTCTGTGATATACTCCGATTGATAATTTCTCATCTCCAAATTTAAGCCAATGCAATGCTGCCTTCACGCCCCCTCGTAAGTTCCAAGTCCAAATGGAACCTGAAAAAAGTAGTGTTGCAACGAGTGTAACCTACATTTACGATGTGTTAGAAGAAAGAAAATGCAGTACAAAGCTCCCAATATTATTTTATAGTATACCTTAAATGTAAATTGCTTAAACTTTCTTGCCAAGGTTCAAATTCCATTTCGCTGCGTTAACCAGATGTGTCTGATTTAATTTTTTTTTTTTTTCTGTCCGTAGTTGTAAAACACTCATTTGGGCTTTGACAATATTCTTGTTATGCCGTTAAATGCAAAGAAATGACCTTTAATTGAAACATAAAGAAATAATACCGTTTTCTCTATGGGATTTCCAAAAGTCCAAACAGCACGCGAGGGCAGCTCCAGTGGTTGTCATGGCGACGCGTTGCACTCAGCGATCATAAAGTTAGTGTGACAGTCAGCACTTTACTACGGAGGACAACATTCATTTCATTGAACTGAACGAGTCAGCAGCTACGGAGAGGATGACCAGTTAACGTGACAGGACGTACATGCTGGACGCGTAAATCCCGTGTTTCACATTAACGTCCTCAAGAATACTTTACGTTACATCTGCTCCATCAACACCTCACACTCCTCACATGGACCGACAGCAGCTCAGGTGAGAATACAGGAGAAATAACTTTAAATTGTGATGTTGTAACATGTGAATATTAATATGAATGTTGAAACACATAGCTGTCGGAGAAGTTGCTCTAATTATTATCATTATTATTATTCTTTTGTCAGCCCCATGTTTACAGAACGAGCTAGCTAAGCTAACTAACGAGACCATAACATCAAGGCCTACTGTTAGATGAATGAACATCTTTAGGCTACAACATATATTACATTTGATGTCAACTTCTACACAACTCAAACAACATCAGCAAGGCATATGGAGCAATAATACAAATATTTGTATTATTGCTCCTTATCCAGAGTAAGCTCTGCCCTCCTGCGGCCGCAGACACACCTGCAGCTTCTTCTCTGCTGCAGCTGTTGTGTTAACTACGGAAGCTCTAAACGGCCACGATTCAAACATTTTTATGTAATGTCGAAATGACAGAGATAATTGATTTGTTATCATGAGAAAACAAGTTAATTTCATCTTCTTCCTTAAAATGTTTCCACCAAATTCGACAGTAAATGTATCAAAAAAAAACTGTTGAGACGAAATTTCTTTAGTCTTTGATATTTGGTTGCTAGTTGGTTGAATAATTCCGAACAATGACAGATGCCCTTATAGCTACTTGTGATAAATAACGTTAGTGCTTAAATAACTGATGATTACTTAAGTACTGATAAAAAATAGGCTAATCAAAAAAGTCCAAAACTGAATTTGTTACAGTAACACAAGTAACTCATTACTTCCACCCCTGGTTAAATACCGTAGATAGCTAATGTTAGCAGAATTTAAAAAAAAGAAACGGCTGAAAAAGTCTAATTTTGAGCTCCCAATGAAACTGAATCACTTATTAATATATTAATTATTCCATGAACATTCCATCAATTTACTTACTGATCGTAGTGTAATGATGGTATTTTAATTTAATTTACAATTACAATTGAGGAGTATAGGTCTACTGTTATTTAGTAAAATGTAAGGGATCTTCAACCCTAGAGGGTACACCCATTCCTACCTCAGTACTGAATAAGATTCCCTTCAAAATATTAATTTCCACCAGAAAATGTTCTAGACCTCATACTAAACCACTCCCAACATTAATAAGTGATCATTATTGACAAGCTAATGTTGCTCTCCCTGAGGTTTCTTCCTTTTTTCTCTCCCTCTTTTTTGGGAGAGTTTTTCCTGATCCGATGTGAGGGTCCCGGGACAGAGGATGTCGTATGTGTACACATTGTAAAGCCCTCTGAGGCAAATTTGTGATTTGTCATTTTGGGCGATTCAAAATAAATTGAATTGAATGTGTAAATGGATAGGAAAAAAGGGTATATTAAAATCTATAGTTAGTTAATGGCTTTGAAAATTCCTGGAACTTTCAGGGGTAAACTAAGGATTCATTTAGAGCATTTTAAGATATTGTTATTTCATATGGGACACATATGAAGTACAAAACATGTTTGAAAGGTGAGAATAATGATCAACTGTCTCGTGCCAATTAGGTCTTACCTTACTAGATATGAAATGTTAGCACAAAAATCCTCGGCTGTGCGTTTGAATTCACCCTTTTCTATGCTATCTCTTTCATGGAAAATGTTACAGTGAAATAGGACCACATGGTCTTTGTAATCCACCGTCAGACTGTGATGCTGGAGAAGTTACTGATAAAGGAAAGCAAGACGTCTCCGTCCTTGAGACTGATTTGTTGTCCATGGAGCATGGTTTGGAAAACTGGTCCGGTTCAACTGAGGGTATCACGACACGCACCGATGACAGCGCCTACTACGTCACATGGGCGGTTTACATTGCCCTAGCTCTCCCAAGAGGTAAGTTTGTCATTGAAAATGTATGAACCATTGACATAAGCTCCAAAGGGATATTGAAAAAGTACTCAAACTGAAAGTCAGTACGAGTTAAGTGTGGGAATCTCAATGTGCTGAAATCAATACTGTAATGTAAGAAACAGATCACGCATTCATTTCATCCTTGATCTCATTCATACACACTTGTCCCCTTTTTAGAGGAAGACGTTGATGCCCCGGAAAATCCTGGAAAGGCCAGGAAAAAAGATATAGATATGTCTACCGTTTTAATGAAAGTCTATAGAGCTCAGAGCTGCTATCATATTGAATACAAGCTGTTGCCAGGTGATACGCAAACAGTCAAAGTGGACTTAGTGGTGTTCGGGCCAGTTGCAAAAATTTACAAAGAAGATGAGTTCAAGGTAACCATGACCTGTATCTGTATGCGTGCGTGCGTGTGTGTGTGTGTGCGTGTCCTATTCCTGAACCATTCGTAATCATCATGAGTGAGCACCAATAAAGCAGCTAGATTGACTAGAGTTACAGTAAATGATCCATCACTGTGCATGAGGTTATTACTGCCATGACAGGGTTGATGATTTCTGCAAACAAACATTCTCAAAACACGCTGCTGGTTGATAACATTTTCAATAGTAAGGGCCTCTAATGCAACAACAACATGTGTGTAACAGATGCTTAGACTGTGGCAAGAAGGAGATCAGACATGGGTTGGTTGGAGCCAGGATTTCAAGGTCAGAGTCAACAGGGAGCTGCTGATCAGTCTACTTCCTCATAAGATCACGCTCCAGATATGGAACAGTAAGGACAAATTGTCCCGCCGGGCCTTCTACGAAAGACTGAAAGCCTTCAGACTGACACGAGATCAGCCTGAGGATGCAACGTGTGGTGAGCATCAACTTGCCCTAAAAATGCCCCAAACATTACATATATATTGTGTACACCGTGTTTCATATGAAATTATATCATGAAACTTTATTCCAAGGTGGTATCAAGACCATGGTAAAGAAACTGAGATCCTCGTGTGAGAGTAAGTGGAACAGAAGTGATATTCTGTTTAATTCCAATTCAGAGGTGGGCTCAGAAACAAGTAAATCTACAATTTTTGCCTTAATAATGGAATCATAATCAATGGCAAATGATGCTGCGGTTTATGTATGCACATTGGTGTCTTATTGTCTATCTCTGCTTGATGTCATAACAGTATACTTTGGTGAGAGCTATGACTTTTCATAACTCTGTTTATAGACTTGAATCCTCTCGCCAAAACAGAATTTCAACAACCCACAATTGATGCTTTCAACCTTGAGGATATCAAACAGAATGGCACCGTCTCAGCTGAAATCAGTCCCATTTGTTTGTTGGCGGGTGAGTAGACTAATAGCTAAAACAGTGTTTTAGCTATTAGCAATGTCTACCTGCAACCACTCATCATCAGTTGTATTTGTCTCCTGGTTGTGACCAGTTCATCCACATTGTCACTTTTGTCTTTATTCTATTATGAATATATCAGAAAAAATTAAAAGGAGATTTTACAATTATTTTTGAGGTATTACTTCTTGTATTAAACTAAGCAAAGCAAGATACAAAACACCCAAATTCATCTCTACATCTCAACTAACTAACTAACTAGATCTTACAAAAATGCTAATGTCAGTATGCTAACATCCTCACAATTACAATGTCAACATGTTCATCATCTTAGACTAATGTGTTAGCATGCTAACATTTGACAATTAGCAGTACAGCTAAGGCTGATGTCGATGTCCTTTGATTTGCAGGTATTTGGTCATAAACCAAAATATGGGACAATTGAAATTATGACGCTAGATGAAAAGTCAGAGGATCCCTAAAGTTATTACAATTCATCCATAGGGAAAATAAAAGTCTGCACCAAATTCCATGACAACTCCAGTTGTTGAAACATTTCAATCAAAAGAAAAAATGTCAACCTCATGGTGCGACCCTGTCTCGTAAAAATTGCCTTCCCATACAACTAAACTACATTCTCATTAAGGTTTTTGAGGCAAACTTATTTTCTCGTGGATTACGGTCGCAGTTTTTAACAAGTGGTTAGCATAAAACGTTTAACGTAACATTAAATAAGTCAACATTGACTTTTGGTTTCACGTGGTCCAGAAACAGAGGTGTCCTGGGTGAAAGTCTTGTGTTTGTTTCAAGGGAATCGTATTTCCTTCCAAATTACCGTCGCAGCTTTAAACACATGGTTAACGTTAAATGTTTAACATGAAGTTAAAATAAGTCATCAAGACTTTTGGTTTCACAAGGGACACAAAAAGCAATCTCCTGGGTGAAAGTCCTGTGTTTGATTGACCCAACCATCCAGGCTGCATGGTAGCAGTAGAGTAAATGTCAAGGGATCAAAGTCTTTAGGATTCATCCTCTGGTGACTATGAATATCTCTGCCAAATCTCATTGAGATCTATCCAATATTGGTGCAGACATTTAAGTGTGGACCAAAGTGGTGCGCCATAAGATTTACACTTTCAAACACTATGTTAACCTTGACAGGAAACATGTTGTAGTGTGTTATTTTTGTGACTGCCAGGTGAGACCTCATTGACTCAACGCTTCCCAGTCTGTTCATCTGGTGTGTTTGAGGTCGTGTGCAACATCTCACTGAACAGACCGCTAATATCTGACCAACTGAAGGCTGAACTCAATCCACTGATCATCAACATTATGTCCGCCAACTCAATGCCTTCATCGCCGGTCCCTTTCCACGTCCTACAGGTGCGACTCACATCTCACTGTTTATTAACAATGCATCCTGTTCTCATACAGTGTTCGTAGCTATACTAAAGAAAATGAATGTGCTTTAATTCCTAGATATCCCACAAAATCAATTTGTATAAAATCCACGTAATCATGAACCACGAAGTATAAAAACAGCAAAAAGTTGACCCACACCAGGTCAAAATTGATGTTGATTTATTTGTCACATAAATTCTGTATTTAAGTAACGGCACTTTTGTACATATTTTTAACCCAACCCACTATCTTTTCCTAAACCTAACTAAGTAGTTTCCTGTGAAGGTGGAAGTTTATTTTGAAAAGACAATGTAACGAGCGGAAAGTATGAGGATACGTTGAACAATGTCACAATTAATACATGGCTTGTACTGTACATGTGTGTGGAACACAGTCCTTCTTCATTCACTATTTAATCAAAATGTAATTGGCATAGTTACATTTTTATTTTTATTTTCCCAGGAAAAATGTTTGCCTGCATATTGCCAGTACAAGTTCAATGACTTGAACATGCACAGAACAAACTACCACAAGCATGGCACCAAAATCTACTTCAGAGACGTGAATGTGATCCTGACTGGCTTGATGAGTCCAGAGGAGCTCAGAGAGTTCCTCTCCGGTCCACCTCTTGAGATCGAGGTTCACGATCGGGACAGAAAGTTGGAAGGAACTCCAAAAACGGCAGCAACGTTTGCCACAGGCTCAGGTAGCGACGACCTGTGTGGTGCGGTGGTCAGGAACTCTCATGGTGTTGCAAGGCTGAACTTCTCTGAGCTGCTGCTTGGGAAGAAAAGCCTAAAGGAGCACTTGCAAATCAAATGCTGCCCTCCGCCTCCGCTGCCGGACAGGGAGCGGAACAGGAAGAGGACAGACACAACGGCTAGCAGGGAGCCCGTGCCACCAGGCCATTATGTTGATGCCAATTCCCAACTCAAAGTCCAGGTAGAGATATCTTGTCCACTCAACATCAAGGACGACAGCTGTGATGGTCCGTATGGGCGCATCATCTACCTCTTCGACTACAACAACTTCTCGTTGATGACAAAGCTGAGGTCGGAGATCCTCAGAATCAACGCATCAGCTTTCCATCTGGACTCGCGCTCACTGGAAAACATGGAGCAGGCCCTATCAAATTACAAAATGAATTTCAAGCACGGCGAGGGCCGGGATCTGGATTTCGTTACGGGATTCTCCGTGCTAGATAAGAGGGCACACATCTTTGTTCTTGAAGGGCTGAAACATAGAGCAGTGAGGAGACTCTGGGAGGCCTTTCCTATGAAGTAAGCCCCGCGGACACTATCTCGGCCTAACAGTTTTCAGCTGTGCTGTCTATTTGGATACCGTGTTTAGATTCCAATGAGAACCCTGTAGCTTGTGTTATGTTTTGCAGGCTAAGTGGGAGTGAGGAGGAGCAGGTGATAGTCCTCTACAATTCAAGCCTGGGTTTCTTCAAGCGCATCTACTCATTAGATGTGAGCCTGACACCTATTCATTTAAATGAGTCACTGGAGACCATCATGAGACAGCCTCTGGTCTACATTAGGGGCATGGTCCCCCAACCCTGCTTCCAAGCTTTGTTAAGGTACCCATATAGTGAGAGGACGGTGGCCTTAAAGGGGACACATCATGCTCATTTTCATGTTCATACTATTTTAGGGTTTCGACCAGAACATGTTTCCATGCTTAAATGTTTAAAAAAAATCACAGTATTTTTCTCATACTGTCCGTCTCAATATACAAGGAATCACCCTCTGTCTGAAACGCATTGTTTTTTTGCGCCTGTCTCTTTAAGACAAAAGTCTTTTGTTGCACATTTTTGCAAAGGTACTTCTCAAGCCGTGAGTGGAGATACTCTGACTCACTGAAAATGAGTTTTTCGTGATGTGTCCCCTTTTAGATTCTAAAAGAGAGGCTTGTATTTTTGCCTAACGTAGGTTGAGTCAGCTTTGTCAAGCGAGGCAACTCAAAGACGTGGTGCAGTGCAACCTCTTCCCCTCAGCTGACATGATCCTCGGCATGAGCAAGAACTACGGCACACATGCGGAGCAAAGAGCCGAGGTGGACACGCCCACTCTGCCTGTCCGCACGAAGAGACACGTGCCGGTCAACACGCAAAACGGGGAGCACGCTAAATGTAAACACAACAGCCAGCCGCACAATCAGGTCTGTGGGCCTAAATCATTCCGAGTAGAATATAACTTATATGTGTATATATATATATATA